GTATTACATCTTGGGGAGAACTGGAGAATTCTTTTTCAACCATACAAGGATTATTGAAATTTTATCTCTTCAGTACTCTATGAGAAATTATGTTGTCTTAAAAGGTAGAAATGGCAAATTCCCTCTAAATCCATATGTCTGTTCAACTGTCTCTCAAAAGTAAACTAGGTTGAATTTGCATTTACTCAGTTCTAGGTAAACAGCTAAGTAAGGATAACCACTTAGGATGATATTCATGAACATAGAATACTGCCTAATTCATAAATTCAACCAATGAACATGGGTGAGATCAGAAGTTATTTCTTGCATTTAAACCTCAGATAAACTCTGAAAATCATTTACAAAGATATATTAAACTTATAACAAAGCATAAAATTATGACAGCCAACATATGCATATATATTTCCAAACACCACTTACAAAACAATACAAGAAGCAACAGAGAAGTAATTAAAAAAAACTTTTTATTTGTTATTGTTATAGCCAATTATCAAACAATTTTATGATAGTTTCAGGTGAATTGGGAAGGGACATGGTCATACATACATTTGTATCCATTCTCCTCCAAAACTCCCCTCCTGTCCAGGCAGCCATATAACATTGAGCAGAGTTCCATGTTCTATACAGTAGGTTCTTGTCCGCTATCCAGTTTACACATAGCAGGGTGTACATGTCCATCCCAAACTACCCAACTATCCCTTCCCCCAACCCCCCCACCCGAACCCCTAAAACCATAAATTGGTTCTCCAAGTTTGTGAGTCGCTGTTTTGTAAGTTCGTTTGTACCATTTCTCTTTAGATTCCACATATAAGCAATATCATACAATATTTCTCCTTCTAACAGAGAAGTAATTTTAAGTTCTTCCTTAACTTGGTTTCTTGGTTTCCTTTCCTTGGTTTCTTACTCAATTCAGATAGTTTAACAAAAATATAAACCAATTTAAAGGAATTTAGTAATATGTTGTTATGGCATAATTCCCATAAATGGTCATTTAAATCCTATTATATAATCCACAGGTGGTTACACCTTCAGANCGAACCCCTGAAACCATAAATTGGTTCTCCAAGTCTGTGAGTCGCTGTTTTGTAAGTTCGTTTGTACCATTTCTCTTTAGATTCCACATATAAGCAATATCATACAATATTTCTCCTTCTAACAGAGAAGTAGTTTTAAGTTCTTCCTTAACTTGGTTTCTTGGTTTCCTTTCCTTGGTTTCTTACTCAATTCAGATAGTTTAACAAAAATATAAACCAATTTAAAGGAATTTAGTAATATGTTGTTATGGCATAATTCCCATAAATGGTCATTTAAATCCTATTATATAATCCACAGGTGGTTACACCTTCAGAAACAAACTTTCAAGGAAGCTCACCATATGGTGGAAGACCAAATCTTAACTCTCATCCCTGAAGTAAATCCAAGTATAGTAGTCTTTGTAAGATTTGGAATTTCTTTTGATGTAATTGATTTTTTATTCCTTCATACAATATTCTGTAAATATTAATATTTATTGAGCAGGTACTGTGTTCCAGATACAGTACTATTTGTACTAAGAGGTAAAGAGGTCTAAAATAAAACAACAAATTACTTAACTCTAAAGGCCTCAGTGTGCAAACAGAGAGGAAAGACATCAACTAGGCTTTGTGCTAAGCATTTCTGGTAGGCATCTCATTGGGACATATGTAACAGGGGGCTTTGCAGGTGACTCAGTGGTAAAAAATCCTCTTGCCAAGCAGCAGATGTGGGTTCCATCCCTGCATGGGGAAGATCCCTTGGAGAAGGAAATGGCAACCCACTCCAGTACTCTTGCCTGGGAAATCCCAAGGATAGAGAAGAGGAACCTGGTAGGCTACAGTCCATGAAGTTGCAAAGAGTTGGATACAACTTAGCAACTAGAGGACACAAATGTAACAGATACACAGTATAGCCCTTTGTGCAGGTGAAGAAAGTGACTCAGGGAAAGTTACTAACTTGTAAAGGCACCCTATTGCTGGGTTGTAATTGGCAGGACCAGGAGTAAAGCCTGTCACTGCAGGGCTTTAAGCCTGTGCTTTTAGAGCCCACGATAAACTTTGTGGTGCTGCAAACTCAGAGAAGAGAGAACTCTAGGGTGGGGCTGGAGCTGGTGTCACACAGGAGGTAATATTTTAAGTGCATCTCTAAATAAGTTGTGGCAAGGAGAGAAGGTTGAGGTGGGAAGGAGAGCACAAATAAGTGTGCTCACAAATAAGTATGCTACAGGCAGGTCCTGTGGAGTAGCTCCAAGAGAATAGCATGTTTTCCAAAATGCTGGTGGTAAGAAGAGTGTTTAGGGTGGGATATGAGGCTAAAGAGGTTGATAGGAGTGCCCTACAAAAGGCCTTGTGTACTATCTACAGTTTATCCTTTAGGACTGGAGCAGAAGCAGCCTCAGGTTTGTGCTTCAGAGGTAACTCTGTTAAAGAAATGTGGAAGAAGTTGGATTCAGTGGGTGGTGAGGGCAGATGGTGGTGGTTGTTCTGGTGGTGAGGAAACTGGAGTGAAGGAGCCCAACTGACTTGTTCTCTGTGAGAGCTGGTCAGATTGTAGAAACTAAAAGCTGTTGAAGGGGAAGACAGAAGAGTGACATATCTGACACATAACTTGACGTACTGATGCCCCCAACTGAATGTGAAGAGGAAAGGAGGTGAGGGAAGGGGAGGAGTCTGGATGATGTGATCCTCAGATTCCTGAATTAGTGAGCTGGGAGGGTGACACCCACTCCCTGATGGAACTTTAGAAAAGCAGTTAGTTGATGGTGAGGAAGTAATTAATTCACTTTTGGATATGATGACTTCGTGCCAGCCCACTGAGAGATATCAACCAATTAAGGGACATATCTGGGGTGTCACTATTTCATGAACGATCCCACTCAATAGCCACCCTTCACTCTTTATTCTTTCCCTGCCAATCCTATCAGTAACCAAGTTATGTCAACGCTACCTCCTTGGTTGATCATTTGGATTAGTGTGTGCAATGCCAAATAACTGTGAACACCTTAGCATTTCTACAAGGCCCTTCACAGTCAGACACTCTCCAGCTTTATCCATTTTGACACCGCTCTGTGTAGAGCCTGCATTCCAGCCATACTGAAGCAGCTGCAGTTCCCAAGAGTTGTTGTTGTCAGTCAATTCTGCATCCAACCATAAAGACACGTCTCCAACTCCAATCCCCATCTCTGGCTGCACACCAGGGAGAGGCAATGATCAGTAAGACAGACTGGCCCTCCAGGAGTGCCGAGCAGATAGTCAGAAAACTGGTTCAACTGAGTCATGTTTATGTCCATTCCTTGAGGTTCACTGAGCAATAGCCAGACTCCAGGATAATCACTTAAATTAAATAATCCTATTGCAGGGAATCTGGTGGGTTACTTAATCATTACATAAAATAGATCTTTCATGCTCTCATGTTGTTTTATTCTACTGAGAATCCAGGCTCCATTGTTAGATAAAAAATTGTTTTGTAAATGCTGCAATAAATATCTATGAAAAGGTACAGGTGTATCAATTTCTCTTATCCTTTCCAGTATCTCACTGCTTTAGTAGATCAAATGTATCAGAGATACCAGTAGCTGGGAGTGAAGCTTGGAATTAGTGAAAATGTAGAAGTAGTTCTATTATGTAAGCCATAATACATAAAATACATGTGAAAATTTAAAGGAGCTTGTTTTATTATGGAGGAAATGACAAATAAGCAAAAAAAAAAAAAAAATTAAAATGTTCTGCTGAATGCTCAGAATTCCAAAAATGTCTTGGCTGTAGATTGGATTACCTGCAACTGCATCATTACCATCCGATACATAGAAAGTGAAATTATTTATGGACAGAAACAGAAGAAAATTTTATTTGGTGAAGACAACGTTTTACTCAGTACAGATAAAAAAAGTTTATAATTATTGTTTAAAGTAGCCAATTCAGAGTAAGCCAAAATTATCCCAGAGAACTGTTTATATTAAAAACAGGCTGAGAGTTTTTTGAACTGTCATCGCCCCCCAAATTGGAAGATAAACGCTCTTCTTGTGAAGATTTCTTTCAAAACTCCCAGTATGGCTTCAGGGGAGACAAAAGAAAGGTAAATAGCGTGCAACCCACATCTCGCTTAACAGAATGATTTCTCTTTCAGGCCTATTAATCGGTGACAGGAATACATCTATTTTTTTCTAACTGCTCCAGGTTTAGTCATCCCTCTGAATCTAAATTCTGAGAGAAAGGAGAAAAGCGTTGGTTTTAAGACCTCGGGCGCTAGCATTCATCATGCTGCAAATGAATTTTGGCTCCATAGGAAGGTAAATTGCTCAACCACTTTGTGCCTCAGTTTCTCTTATCTATATAATGGGGATTGTTGAAGGATTAGGTGAGATTGTACAGACAAAATAGGAAGCCCTCAACCTAAGTCAGTTACCATGAACATGTCAAAGGTTTCCCTGAGTACGCCACTTAGCTTTTCTTTTTCAATATTAGCATAATATAAATGGATTAGAACGTGAGGGGCAGGAGCCACGTGATCCTTCCACGAAAGCCACTTGTAGGGGCCTTCAGAGAGTTAGCAATAAAGCTGGGAAAGAAAGGCCCGCGCGCGATTTCCCGCCGCGCCCGAGTCCCCGGCGGCGGGCGGGCTGGGCGGCCGGCGGCCTTCCCGGCCCCGCGGCCCAGTGACCCTGCGGAGGAGGCGCCGCGCCGTGAGGCGGCCCGGGCCAGGAGGTTACCGCTCCTCCGCCTGAGGTGCTTGTCGGCGGGTGACTGAGGGGACGGAGGTCGGGAGCGAGGGAGTCCCTGCGGACGCCCCTCGGCTGTCTGCCCGTGAACCCCGAGGGCTCCTCAGAGTTGGACCGTGTCCTCCCTCACACGCTGTCTGCCGCCACCGCCGAACATCCGAAGTGTAGTCGGACGAGGCGTCCCTCCCGACACCCGCGCCTCTCCGCCGGTCGTGGAGCGCCCCCGTGAGGGTGCTACCCATCGGCGAAGCTCCCTGAAGGAGCCGACCCTGCACCTGGGGCCCCCACTCACCCACCCCCAGAGTTGCGAGTTGCGGGGATAGCGGCGTCACTGTTACAGACGGGAGAGAGATTCTCGAAGGTACCATCAGAACTATAGATGACGTGTCAGGTTACCAGAGGGAATGTCACAGGGACAAAAGCAGAGACAGGAAATCTGGAATTTATGATGATTGTTAATGGTCTCAGCTCTCTCTCCTTGTTCCCGTTTGCATAAGGCTTTGGTAACTAGTCTTGTTCAGGATCTTAGATAAAGCTCCACATGCTAAGAAGGGAGCCCCGCAGGTCTTGTATCCACGGTCCTAAGTGCCGAAGGTAATTGGAACAGGATCTTAAACTTGCAGCCAGCCGACTGAATCATTAAAAAACAACCACAAAGAAAACACACACCAGCAGCAACACCCCAGAGACAAATCAAGAACACAAAGTATATTTTGCAGGAAGGGCTGTAGTTCTTGAAGTCTGGAAATACTTGTGGGAATCGTTAGAAAACTCTCTTTTTTTAAAGTTGACAGTAATTTGGGAAATCCTTTCAGTCTTAACTGAATATATATGCATTCTGCTTAGTGTGTGATTTACATAATCAGAGAGTCGGGGTCTGGAAATGCATTTTCCTGTGTGTTAACTACACTAAAATAATTTTTAGAACACAAGGTAATGTACACATTTTGTTAGGTACTTGTGCTTTTAAATGGAAATCTTGATTACTTTAACTTGAACTCATGTTCATATTTATATTTGTTTTGTAATATCCCTTGGGATCTTATTCCTGGGATGTAGATGAATTCTGCACCGTAGAATCATCTCGCCATTTTTATGGGAGTTGTTCAGCCCTTGGATTCAGTTATCCTAGTGATAATGGCTTTCTGACTTTTCATCTATTATGAGTGGCTGCTTATCACAATACTGTCTCCTTGCTTTTGGCAAATATATCTCTAAGATAAGTTCTAGTCCCAAAGTTTTGTTATTTTAAGAAGTTGCTTGAATATATATGGCAATGAAATCTTGTATTTGTTGGTAAGTGGTTTGATTTTTTTTTCTCCCAAAGAATTCATTTTGAGGCTTAAAAAATGTGAACCTTTCTCATTTAATGCACATTTAAATTTTTAATTTCAGAACACACATTTGTTCAGTTCCTCAGTCTGTCCAACTCTGCGACCTCATGGACTGCGCACTAGGCTTCCCTGTGCATCTCCAACTCCTGGAGCCTGCTTAAACTTATGTCTATCAAGTTGGTGATGCCATCCAACCATGTCATCCCCTGTCATCCCCTTCTCCTCCTGCCTTCAGTCTTTCCAAGCATCAGGGTCTTTGTAATACTTTGTAATACACATTTGTAATACTGCGTTTTCTTCGTTGTTGTTCAGTCACTCAGTTGAGGCCCCATAGACTTTAGCATGCCACTATCCTCCTAGCATGCCTTTGTCCTCCACTATCTCCCAGATAGTGAATTCGCTCAAATTCATGTCCATTGAGTTGGTGACGCTGTCTAATCATCTCATCTTCTACTGCCCTTTCTTCCTCTGCCTTTTTCTTAAAGTAGTTTAAATAATCATCTGTGAGCATATCTGTGTGCATGTGCCCATAAGTGCCACAAACCAGTGTTTTATACACAACAGGCAAGGAGCAAAATTGGGAAAATGCAAACATTTTAAGGAATAAAATTGTTAGGTCCTCTCCCAACAACTTTAAATCTTTTTCTCAAACTCCTTTGTTAATTTGCATTAGCGTCGTTAACTCACTTAGGCTTATAAGAGATAGAGAAAACACGAAGATGAAAAGACCATCTGCATTGAATCTCATTAGACATATGATGGAACCTGAGACCATTTATCCCAGTGATGCTGGGCTTCTATTTTCATTGTAGCTTTATGTAGTTGTAGTCATACGGGAAGGTAAAAGAGAAGCACCCAGAGACTCATCTCTGCTACTTCTGTGAGAAGGTGAAGGGAGAAGGCTCCTCCTATGTGAGCTTGTCCTGCCAGGGAGATCTGAATGGGTTCTAAAGGGACTCATTTTGCTGTTCCTAGGCCCTGTGGTGTTTGCTTTTCTTGTGATGATGAAGGTCCCTGAAGAGGCAACAGAAGCTAGAGATGCTTTTAGGAAGCTGTGGGTGGCCCAGGCCTCCTTCCTTAGGCAAGCTGATACCATTGGTTGATTTGTAGATATTGAAAAATCCTTGCATCTGTGGGATAAATTCCACCTGATCATGGTGTGTGATCCTTTTAATGTATTGTTGGATTCAGTTTGTTAGTATTTTGTTGAGGATTTTTGTGTCTATATTCATCTGTGATATTGGCCTGTAATTTCCTTTTTTTGTGATATCTTTATATGGTTTTGGTGTCAGGGTGATATTGGCCTCATAGACTGAGTTTGGAAGTGTTCCTTACTCTGCAGTTTTTTTTGGGAAGAGTTTGAGGAGAACAGGTGTTAACTCTTCTCTAAATGTTTGATTGAATTCACCTGTGATGTCATGCGGTCCTGACTTTTGTTTGCTTGAAGTTTTTAAATTTAAATCGTATAATGAAAAATGAATTTTAGGAAAGACAAAGGAGAAAACAAACATATTAGGAACACAGTGGTTAGCTTTGAAATTCATTTGTGACCACATTCTGCCTTGAGTTGGATAGAAGAATGTTAAAGTAGTTCTATGATTTATTGAAAGTATAATGAACTTTTAATAAGATTTTTGAAAACCCCAAATTATATTGTTACTTGTCAGTTTTCAAGTGAATTAGTTATCCTAAAGCAGTACTTTTCCAAAAGGGCAGAACATTAATTGTAGTTAGGAGCAGTTAAGCAGGATGATATTCGAGAAAAAGCAGTAGCATAGATTAATGTTTAAAAAATAGCACTGTAACTTGCTATGTGGTCTTGATAGCACATTCTCATCTTCCCTATGTTCTGAGGTTTTTAGATGCTGAATTTGAAACACTTTGCACCTTTTCTTAAATGTACACCTTTTGACATTTTTGTACCAAGAAGCTTAAGTGATTTTCCAGTTCTTTTTCTGTTTCCTGGAAAACAAGTTTTCAAAGATCTTTTAAATCCTATTGTGTTCCTTTTGGAAAGCAAATATATTAGTCTAACCTAAGTTTGATTGTTTTGTTATAGAACTCCTTTTTGGTGTTAATTAAGATGATAAATACAGATGCAAAACTTTTACATTACTGAATGGAAATATACATAACTTTAGGTGCAGTTCAGATTTGCATATTTTAATATTGGAAATAGTTGCTCTAAACTTAATTAACACTGTATTTCTTGTCCTGAGGGCCTTGTTGTAGTTTACTTAGGCTTTTTGCCCCTGATGTACCTATTGTCTAAAATGTTTTTTCCCACCTGTAAATCCCATCCATGTTTCAAGGACTAGCTCGAATGCTGCCTTCTGATTCTCATAACTGAGTGTGATATGTCCTCCAGTTTTCACTGTACATTATCTGAGAGGCATGTTGACAGTTTTTACCTTGCATTAATTATGGTTGTGTATGTTTAATATATTTTGTTGGCCAAATATTTCTTTCAGGTTTTTCCATAAGGTATTACAATAATACCCAAACTTTTTGGCCAATCCAGTATGTTTCAGTGTTTGTATATATGTGTCTCTTTCTGTATACATACTAGACTCTGGTTCTTCGTTTTCCACTATACTTCCTTGCATATAGTGGTTCCTTAACATTCATTGCATGAATCAGTCTCAAAGTTGTGGTATACTCAGTGAGTTGGGATGAGAACAATGAAATTGATCAAACACATCACTGGCTATGTGCCTTATTTAAGTTTTCAGCTTTAGATAGAGGTCAGAAACTGTCACAAAAATTTAAGAAATTCCATGGTGAGTCATATGTATCTAATCCATGGTGGTCCAATTTATGACCACATAAAAGGACAATTTTATGATTGTCAGTTTTAAGTTGAGGATAGATCCCAGACGTCTTAGTTGCCTTTACTTACTTTTGGAGACATTTCTCTCAGCCATAATGAAGCAATCTGAATGATGCTTTTTTTTTTTTTAAGACCCTTAGTTTCTGTACATGTTTAATGACAGCTTTATATTCCTTAAGATCCTTTCTAGCTCCAGAATTCTGCTTCAGTGACTTGGGATAAATTTCATTGAGTGCAGAGTCTGTAACTGAGCAAATACAAGGACTTGAAAGAAAGAGTTAGTCACTCAGTTGTGTCCAACTTGTTTTGATCCGTGGACTGTAGCCTGCCAGGCTTCTCCGTCCATAGGATTCTCCAGGCAAGAATACTGGAGTGGGTAGCCATTCCCTTCTGCAGGGGATTGAACCTGGGTCTCCCGTATTGCCAGAGAAGGCAATGGCAACCCACTCCAGTGTTCTTGCCTGGAGAATCCCAGGGATGGGGAGCCTGGTGGGCTGCCGTCTATGGGGTCGCACAGAGTCGGACACGACTGAAGCAACTTAGTAGCAGCAGCTCCCATATTGCAGGCAGATTCTTTACCATTTGAGCCACCAGGGAATTCTAATTCTTAGTAGATACAAGTCCAGATTTTATGTGTTTTCCTTCAGTGGCTTTCCATTTCACTTAAAATCAAAATATGTTATCCTGGTTTACAAAATCTGATGACATGACCCCTTCCTACCCCTCCTGTCTGAACTTTGCCACTTTCTTGAGGTCACTGTCTTCCAGATGGTTGTGATATTTTCTCATTCTTAAACTTGCTTTGCTTGTTCTTGCCTTGTGACCTTTGCACTAGCTGTGTCCTCAACCTGGAATGTTTTCCTACTTGACTTTTATGCAGTCATGTTTATACTATTCACATCTCTGCTTAAATTCACTTCTTTTGAGAGGTTTTCCCTGATGATCCAATCCACAATGACCAGTCACTATAAATGTCACCAGATTTGGATTCTCTGTATATCACTTAGCCCTGTTTGCAATAGTTCTTACTTGTTTATTTGTTTATTGCATTCTCATAGTTTTCCTCCATGTGATTGTAAACTCCATGAGAATAGGGACCTCATTTGTTGTTATGATTTGTCTGCTTTCTTGTGGGTCCTCAGGATCTTGAACAGTGAGTGTTTGGACCTAACATATGCTTAGTATGTATTTGCTGAA